TTAAATGGACCTAGAAGAGAGAATTGTGTTTCCCATAGAATTTGCACCATCACATTCTTCCGTTTTAATAATAATGGACAATTTTCAACCTTTTCCCTTTTCTATAATGGAAAAGCAGGTGAGCTTAATTAAACCAAAAAGCTAAACCAATTGTTATGGCATATAGTAGCAATTCTAGGACTTGTTAATTCAATGATGGCTTTGGTGGATATGGGAGTTCGTATGTGGATTTTGATGTTGGCTTTGGACCTTGCCCGTTAGGTCACCAGGTGGTCTTGGTGGTTATGGGGGTCTTGGAAGTAGTAGTTAGGAGGCTACTGAGGTTGAATCATCCATTGGTTATTCTAGTCGTTTTGGACCTTACAGTGATGGGTTTGGTGGGGGATATGACACGAGTGGATTAGGACTTAGGAGGGTATGGTCAAAGGGTTGATCCTTTGGTTGTTATTCAACTTTTTATTTTGTCTTGTTTCCTTGTGACCAAGTAACAAACCACCAAGGTGGAATAAAAAGCAAAATACGAAAGATATTAGTTTATGAAATTTGTGTGTAAAATGTTGTAAGTATTTGTAATTAGCTAGAAAGAACACAGTGGTATACTAGTAATTGTCATATATCTAATTCCGGTTCCGATTCCAGACAGTTTTAGTAAACTGCATCAGAGTTCTAATTTCGATTCCATATAATTTATGGTAAACAACCTCAAAGAAATAACATTCTCATTCCAATTGATTTGATTCCCATTGATTTTCATTCGACTCATTTCTATTTTTAATGAAGTGAAACATAATCTCAATCTCTTCTCAATCTCCTTAGGAAAATTGCTTACCAAGAATATTTTTCCCTTCCACAATTTTTCAGTGAAAACTAAATCCAACGCATAATAAGAGAAAATATAGGGAAAGTATAGTAAACGACACAAGATTTATACTGGTTCACTCAAGCAAGGGTTACATCGAGTCTTTTGCGACAAACAGGTTCTACTATAATATTGAGATAATAAAATGAGCAATCCAACTCTCTCAAATCTAGAGGTCTCAACAAAAGCCACCTAGTTTCTAGAAATTACAACAATACGATCCTAGAAAATAGGAATGAAAAATCTCACAATACTCATGAGAACTGGTTGCCGACATCGTTCTACAACTCTAGCATCTTGACCTTCTTCCTCTGCCAAATATCACTATTGCCACGCCTCAAATCAGGGCACCAACACTGTTACAGCCGTCTCAAATTATGTCCCAACATAATAATCAAAACCTAAATGAAAACGAAGCCTTTTAAATAAACTTGTCACAATGTTGAGACGCTGCGCTCTGAATACCACAACATCAAATGAGATGTGCGCGACCTTTTTTTTCTATTTCCGTGACAGTGCCATGGCGCTGCACCCTCAGCCAAATGACCTTCGCTAGCAGCCTTTCACCTATTTTTCATCCTTCTTCATTCTTGAAAATATACATACATGCGCAGCGGAAGCGAGCAAGGATCGAAATAACAATCTAGATGCATATTACAACCTAGGATTAAACATGCATGATCATACATTATGATGCTTAGAGAAAGGTAGAGAAAATTACATACCTTTGTAGCTTTTTAAATTTCTTCAAATAGCTTCAATGAGGATCACTAAGAGGTCTTCCTAGCTATTCTCAAGGTTTTGAATAGAGTGGTGGGACTCTTTTTAGAGAAGGAAAATTTTAGAGAAATATTGAGCTAAAAGGAGTTATGTAAGCTTTTTGAAAAACATCAAATGGCTAAAGGTTCCAAGAGCTTTCATGTTTGAACAAAGGTCTTTTTAAATAGGCAAATTACATGCAACTCTTGCATGTCTAAGTTCACCAAAAGCTTACAACACATACTCCACTCATGCATGTCATGGTTAAGTGTCAAAAAGTAGATTTTTTTAGAATATTTAAATGTTCCACTCAACAAGTTAGTGGAATTTTCTACGTTAGTGGAATTTTCTACCAACTTGGTTAAAAACATTATTTTAATCTTCTTAGTCAACCTTTGACTTTCTTTGGTCAAAGTGACCTTTTCCGAAATCCGACTGTTTGACCAAATCCTTGCCTCCGATTATGGATCCACATTCATAATTTTAATATTTAAATCATATTTAAGTATTTTGACCAAATTTCTCAATTGATATTATATATCAATTACTCAATCATATCTCATATGATTACCCTAATTTATATGATTCGAAATTATTCCTTCAAATTATTCCAAGTTTATTCCTATATGAGCTAGTCAGTGGACCTTATAGACCTACAGATCATGAGCTCCAACGATCCAAGATTAATCGGTTAAACTCTTTAACCTAATTAACCAACATTCGTTAACTACCAGGTCCTTCCACTCACTATAGATATATTATGTCTGTTTGATATAACCATGATCGGTAAATCGACCCTTCACAGGTTGTTCGTAATTACAGCTGGGTCAAAATACCGTTTTACCCATTTAATTACCTCTTGTTCCTTAAGTCCCACTTATCCTCTAATGAACAATGATTTGTAGTCCAACTATCAAATCAAAAAATCCTCTCGAACCTTTTGATGAGGGTGGCGCCAATTGTTCAAGACCTGGATTCAACCCTTAAGAGAGAAACCTCTCTACTATCCCATAATTGGGTACGAGTGAATTCCTTCTTGCACTCTATGTCCCTAACTATCTACCTAGTCTTACCCCTGAAATGGAAGGCTTATTGAGCCAGCGCTGTTGAGCTGCTCTCACCCATGCAGATCTAAGGATAATTCCGAGTAAACAGAAGTTTATAGTTAGCTCAGTATTAAGATCAAGTTACCTAGGCCATCATAGTCGAGATAGTCAGTTTCAGACAGTAAACGGTGTTATAAAGTAAAAGTGACTATCTCATGGTCTGGTCTTATGTAAACTCTTTGCACAGGACGCCCCCACTCACATGTCTTCACATGAACGAATTAGGATCACATCGTTTGTACTAGCTACAAAATGGGCCGCATCCATAGTGTCCCCAGAATAAGGTGCCCAACCTTATTCCTATACTATAGACCATTTAGACTGTCAACTCAAACTTGATCTATATTTATATCTCTACATAAAGTTTGAGTCTCATGTAATAGTCTAGGATCCTTAGTTTTGGATTTGGATCTAGTAAGAACATTTTATTTGATCAAAAACTACTTATTGATTATAACCTTCAATAACAACTTTATTGAATGATAAAAGTATATTTGGTATTTACAAACTATGAGTTTTTTGACATAAAACCCAACACAAAGAAATTGGAAACACGTTACTAGGATGATTATATGCTCATCTAATCTTAATCTTGAGTGTATAATGAACTATTTTCTTTGTTCTTTGATTTACATGGGTGAGGGTAACAAGAGTGTTCCTCCAATAAGTCTACTATTTTTGGGAACATACTCAATTGAGGAGCTAAGAAGATTCTTACTTAAAATGGAACTCAATGTCACTCAATATTGGAAATTGCGAAGCGTGTACTTCTTATTGAGTGGGTAGATAAAAGATTCCTTAAAATGTTGGTTCAACGCTTGGATAACAAGATACTTGCCTTCTTGATATTCAAACAATTAGGATCTTCCCATGATCAAATCATGGAAGACTATCTAAAGTACCAGTCGGAACCTATTAGTTGAGTCCAATATTAAAATTCTTTTGTAGATTTGATAAATCTGGAACTTAAAGAGCAAGAGATGGACCAGAGGCTAAACAATAATTTTTTCTAGTTGGACCATGGATCACTTTGTGAAGGATTTGATGAGCGGTTATGATTAATATGCGTGGAAATAACTCTTGCAAAATACGAGAGTGAAACCCTGGATTTATATTGGAGTTACCTTGGATTAATGATAAAACTGGTTAATTAAAGAGTTTAATTAAACAATTATTGACATTGGAACTTAAAGTTATAGATCCATAAGATCTCCCTCATAGCTCGTTCACCTCTACAACAAATATTTGGTTAGGAGAAAATTAGACAAGGTTGATTATTTAATTCATAAGTAAATTGTTTAATTTCATTGTTAATAATAAATTGGATTTATTATTACTTTATTAAAAAGTAAGTCTAATCGATAAGAAATTACCTATTTGGGTTTTTTAAGCCTAATAGAGTATAACTTGGTGTATAGATTGAAGGAGTAGTCCATGAACTCAAGCTCATCAGATGAAGCAACCAAGTAATTACTGGAAGCCATAGTGGATTCGGCTGCTAGGCACCGCGAAAGCCAATGCTATAAATCGATTTAGCGGATCTTCATGACAACTTTTAATTAAAAATATTTTCGAAAAATGAATAGGATCAAATCCCTTACCTTTTGTAACGTAGATGATGGAATCCACCAGATCTTCCCAGCTGTTCTCGGTCTACAACAAATCGGTGTGTGAGCACCTCTTAGGAGAAAGAGGAAGAACACATTCTTCCTTGGTGGCTACTAGGGAGGAGAGGGAGAGAGCATTAGCATGCTCTAAGGTTTTGCCTATAAGTCTCTTAATATAGACTTTGGGCCGAAACCGTAATGGACTAATTAATTCTCTAATTAATAATGAAAATTTAAAATTATTTTTATTTTTCTTAAATAATGTGTTGGCTCACATCTTATAGGTTTCAATCCTTGGACTATTCTATGAGACCAGCCAAGTAATATCATGTTAAATTAATAATAAGTCCAAGTTATTATTAAAAACTAAATTAAACATTTTAATTCTAAATGAAATAATCGGCATTATTTAATTTTTCTTTCTCAACTTATTGTTCCCTGCGAAGTTTAACAAACTAGCCAGGGATGTTATGGGACACTGTTAAAGACCAATGGTCAACAATTTATTAATTAAACTCATTAATTAACCAATTACCATTAACTCAAGGTGTCCATTATTAAAGACCAAGAATTGTACTCTCATGTACTACAAATGAGTCATGTCTACGGATAAAATTATAACCACTCATCATATCTTTCACAAAGTAATTCATGGTCCTAATTGGACAAAATTATCATTTTGCCCCTGGTCGCATCTCTTCCTCCTTAAGTCCGACTAGTTCTCTAATGGATAGTCTTCCAAGATCTCACATGTGTTAATCCTTATTGGGGTATCAAGAAGGCGGGGTACCGTGTTATCCAAGTCCCGGCACTTTAAGGGAATCACTAATATACTCACTCGATAAGGAGATGTACGCACTTTGCACTTTCCAATATTGAGTGGCTGTAAATTTCATCTTGTGTAGACCATTCCCAGCTCTTTAGTTGAATGTGTTCCCAAAGTAGTAGGCTTATTGGAAAAACACTCTGGTTACCCTCATCCATGTGAATAAACACAATCTCATAGACATGGGTTCATAACACACTAAAGATTAAGAGTAAATGAGCATATAATCATCTAGTGATGTGTTTCCGATTTCTATAACGGTCTTATAAGAAAATACAAGACACGTCACGATTTAGTCTTATACAAACTCATTGTATATGATACCCCACTGCATATCTCCATATGAATGATTAGGATTAAATCATTTGTAATGTTGAGTCATATCAACAGTGTTACAAAGATAAGTCACACCCAACCTTATCCATATGTATATTGTAGACTCTTTAGATTACCATCTGAACATAATTTCTCTTGTATGTCAACTACATATTATTCAAGTTTACATTAGTAACCTTGGATTTTCATAAGATAGATAATACAGATTGTTCATGAAAATAATCAAATTATTTTATTGATAAATTATGAGGTTTTAGAGCATARATCTCAATATAATTATAGAAATGAAATGGTAAATTTTATAATTAATTTTAGGTCAAACTAGTCCATTAGAATTTTGGCCAAAGTAAATATAGAGAGACATACTGGGAATATTAAACGACRAGATAGATTCTTTCCTTCCATGCCACTATTAGCCACAAAGGAAGAAGAGTTCTTCTTCTCTCAAATGGCGCCCACATGTCGGTTCATTGTAGATCAAGAATTAATAGGAAGATCACGTGTAGTTTACTCAAAAAGATAAGGAATTCAATCTCTCTTAGTTTTCAAAAATAAATTTCGTTAAAGTTGTCATTGAAGATCTTAAGTGTGCAAACTTCTATTACATTTGGCAGATTCCATCTGATTGTCGGCACAAAGGGTGAGTTAGACGGTTGGCAAATGGCGTGGCAATGACAAGGTTTGCAGGAGGAATGAGAATGGAGAAGGAAGAGASAGGGGTCGAAGGAGATAATCACGTCAGCAGTTCAATCAACAAAAATAATATTAAACTAAGATATTTTTTCCACTTAAATTAAAATTTTCTCGTCATTAAAGTCAAATGAATGTGTAAATTGTYACTTTAGCATTCCGCTAGGTCAATTGATGGTGAAATAAAATGGAAGAATATTTTTTCCAAACCTAAAGTGTTTGGATTGAGAGACTAAATAGACACTAAAAATTACTCATTTCACATGATTTCACATAAAAGCTCGTTGCTATGAAAATTTGTCACATTAAAATGTCGATGCAACTAACCATTGCGATTATAATAATTGATTAAAAGAAAATTTGAAACGTAAAAGGATGAAATTGAAACCCTTAATAAATTAGACATCAAATTGAAAAAGGATTCAAAAATTTAAGTGCAAAAGTATATATTTTGCTAGAAAGATAAAATAATAGGGGTAGTTGCAAATATGGCAAAAATATTTAGTAAAATTAGCAAAATAGCAACCATATTTAATTTTTTCAAATACAACACTTTTTTTCCTTAAAAAAACTGAGGTCCAATTTTAAAATGACAATTTTACTCAAATGATATACATCTTTAATATATATGTAATATATTTGACTACTGATATGAGTGTCTGATATATTTGCAATATGTATATGATATACATTTGATATATTACTGATATGAGTGTATGTGCAATATATATGTGATATACATCTGATATATTATTAATATGAGTGTCTGATATACTACTGACCTGAGTAATATAAGTAAAAAATTTGTACTATATTTAAAAATTTTAAAAATATGTGACAGTATTTTAATTTTCCAAAATAATATTTTATAAAATTGAGGGCATTCAATTTCGTAGCACAGCCAAATTTTCCTAATTGCCGGATAAGGTATGAGTAGATGAAATTAGTTCCAAGTGGCGACAGATTACATTTCTGAAGTGAAGAACTTCATAATCGATATGGCCGCTGCTTTTGTTTTTTTTTTCTTCCTTGGGGGAAATCAATTATCCAATAGTGGGAATTTGGATTTGGGATGGCTTCCGCTGTGGACGGTTTCTTACTATTGAATTTAAGACCGCCCAATTTACTCAGTAAACCTAGAATCGTCTCTCTGTTCTCGGGAAAAACGGCATCGTCTCTTATGGTTCGAGCAGAATCCATGGCGACTGAGAAGCTGGGCATCAAAATTGAGAAGAATCCTCCTGAATCCAAGCTTACCCAACTCGGCGTTCGTCAATGGCCCAAGTATTTTGATTTCTCTACCTCATTTCCTGCTTGTTTTTTCTCCATTTAATYGCTATTACCATATCACTGTTTCTCATTCGTCCCCCAAATTGTCATTGATTGTTGAGGTGTTGTTAGTTGTTTTTGAGGATCGTAAGAGGTTAAATATGAGCGATGTTTGCAATTTTGGAATTGGCTTTCGATCTATAACATGGGTTGATATTTTTGCATCTCTTCCGATGATATTAATCGTATGCAAATCGTTAAAAGTRTTCATAATTTGGTCATATTTCTGTCTATTATTTCGCATTGATGGTGGAATCTTCTTATATTTGGTCACCTTGTTGAAACTTGAAAACTGCTATCTCATCCAGATTCAATTCTTTGAATATTGCAAATCTCTGCTTAGTGGGTTTGTTTGTCTTTGAGAACAACGTTTATATTTCTGCTATTAAACACAGGCTCAAGAAAAAAACAATAATACAGCTTTATTTTCTATTAACAGTGTGTTTGGGATTGGGATGGCCTTTGAAAATTTGATTTTTGATATAAAACTATTTGTTCTGACCTCACTTTCAGAAGAAATACTAATCATGACTGTGTTTAATATAGTTTCTTAGACCCATTTTTGCTTTTGGTTTTCTATTTTAGAAAATTAAGCTGGTAAACACACAACTTTCAATGGTGTATTTCTTTCTTTGTCTTGTTACCTACTTTTTTAAAAACCATTTTCAAAATACAAGTCAAATTTCGAAAACTAAAAAAAATAGTATTTTAATATATTTTCCTAAGGTCTAGTTTGATAACTATTTTATTTTTGATTTCCTGAAAATTAAGTTGGTAAACACCACTTACACGCATAATTTTTTGTTTTGCTACATACTTTTCTAAAAAAAATAGTTTTTACAAACCCGTTATAGTTTTTGAAATTTGTCTAAGAATGCAAATGTGTTTTAAGAAGGGTGAAAACAAACTATAAAAATTATGAGTGATGGTTGAAGAAGCTTAACTTTCAAAAATAGAAAACTAAAAACGAAATGGTTTATCAAACGAGGCCTTAGTGATTTTAGATAACTAAAAAAATGTGTTTTAACAAACCTAAAGTAAGAAATTAAAAAAAAAAAAAATTAAAAGATTGCATTACAGAGAGATGATTATCCTTACTTTAAAGATCGACCCTATCGTAGTTTAAGTAGTTGAGAGATAATTACCTTAAATTAGAAGATAGACCAAACCCACCTTAAATCCCTTGTTTTCAAACGAAACGTTCCTAAAATCTTCTGTTGGAATGTTTGGTCGGTTCGAGTGTGAACTTTAGACGACCGAAAATTGTGCTGAAATTTTGTGTTGGAATGTCTGGTTGGTTTGATTGTGAAGTTTAGAGTGAAAATCAGATTGGTCGAACTGTGAATCCGACAGGTGGGGGTGCGAGCCGAGCAAATTCCCATGGACATACTCGGACAAGGAGACCTGTTTTCTGCTGGAGGGAAAGGTGAAGGTTACTCCTGCTGGATCAGAGGAGTCAGTTGAGATTGGCTCTGGGGATTTGGTTGTGTTCCCAAAAGGAATGAGCTGCACTTGGGATGTTTCAGTTGCTGTTGATAAGCACTATAACTTTGGCTAAAACCTTTGCTCTCTCTGTTTATGAACTATGAACTCATTTATGACTGTTTCTCTCTTGTAGAACCACCTTGTGTGAAGCTTCTGTCACTGAACTGCACTTAATATGAATCTAGAATCACATCTGAGATTTGCAGCTCTTATTTTTTTGTTTGTTTGTTTGTTTTTCTTTTTTGGTTCGAGATTGAGTTCGAAAGCAAACCAATATTGATTTGTTGCATCTGTTAATGTTGTAGGGTGTTTGTGTTAAGGATTCCACCTTGAAAACATAAGAGACCTAAGTTAACAAGATCGATCTTGTTATGATGCAAGTAGGTTACTCCTCTCATTGTTAATTAGTTTTAAGATAGAATTTCATGAATATTAATATAGTAACAGAGTCCAAAACATTCAAGACTAATATCGACGTTTCAAAAAAGTCACGATCTTAAAAGAGGAGATTAAGGATTCTACATTGAAAAGATAAAGGATCTGACAAAGATTTAAGATGAAATCTATRAATATTAATCCCGATCATGATTTTCCTACCCCAGAGGGAAAAGTCCTTCCCTTTTTGGTCGGTTGTGGGCAAGGAGGGATTTAAACTGGAGGGGCAGTTTTTTTCTCTTTTAATAATTATTGCATTAAAAAGTACATTTGGTCTCTATACTTTCATTAAAGTAACGATTAAGTATTTGAACTTTTAATTGTGCGATTTAGTCTTCGTATTTTAAGATTTAAAAATTTACTCTCTATGGTTTAGAATTTGTAACAATTTAGTCTCTAGTACGAAAACTCTCATCAAAATTAAGCATCAATTTTTATCCTATAACGATTTTATTTTTGTAATTTATAAATAAATTTAATCCTTCATCAATTTATCGATCAATATGTATAAGAAATTTAACAAAATATTTCACGATAGAGTTTAAATCGATGCAAACTTTAAACTTCAAGAACTAAATTGTAACCTGCTAAATTTTAGAACTAAAAAAAAATGTCATTTTTAGGCCCCAATGTTTTTTATTTTAGAAGTTTGGATCCTTTTCTAAAAAAATATTTATTCCGACCATTCCTAACATAAAAGTACATTTTGAAATAACTTTTCTACCTCTATTCCTTCTCATCTTTCTTACTTTCTTCTTTAACCATTCAACAAAAAGTACATTTTCATATGAATTTATTTAGCAATCAATCTTAATAATTATTATAAAAGAAATGTATTTAACAAAATTAATCATTTCCATCAAATTAATTGCATCAATTTATTACGTTTTTATAAATTAAAAAAACAAATTAATATATTATTACAATAAAACAATAGAACAATTTAAAAGTAGTTTAATTTATATTAATTAATTGTAATAAAATAAAGAAAATAGGCACATTAAAAGAAAAAGCAATTTATTTGCCAAAAAAAAGTAATTTATTGAAGAGAGAGAGATCCGCATCAAGCAAAATAAAATATAATAAAAATAGATGTGATCACTTATAAAATTAAAATTAAAAACTTAATATTGTATAAAAAATGTTAAAATCAATAAATAAATTAAATTAAACACCTCTTTGATCTCCTTGAACTAAATATAGATAGCAACTTCAACCACTCGAATTTTTTATATTCCTTTTTATTTTTTATCAAACGAGACCTTCGTTCGTTTCAACGTCTTCATTCATACAACAGACGACACAAATGGAGGCAACTCAAACAACAACACCAACCGCGAGGTGCGCAAAGGGAAGGGGGAGAGGAACAAGAATGAGGGACTAAGAACGAAATCTAACATGTTGCCCAAACTCAAATCTTAGAACCAAAACGTTATTTTACACGACTAAAAAAACATGACTGATGATTCATTGCGAAACTATACCAAATATAAATGTATCAAAATTAAGAAACTTTAAAGAAAATAAAGCATGAGAACTTTACCAAATATTGTTGTATCCAAATGAATAACATTTTTATCCCATGCACCACCCACATTTAACATTCCACAACATTTAAGTAATGATGTCAACGTTAAAAAAAAAAAAAAGAAATTAGAATCAAATAAAAAGCTTTAAGATAATTAGACGTCAAGAATTAAATTTATGATTTAACCAAAAAAAAAATGCAAAGACATATTGAAAGGTAACGATTTATTTTTTTTTTCTCTTAAATATTATTTAGACAGAGATAACGTTAGGCTAAATGATCAATGCATTTTCCTTCCTATCTTCTCTAATACAATGAACTTAACCTGAGCTATGTGGTGTTACAATGGGATAATTAATTACACCATATATTATGAATGTATTTTATTTTTTCCCCAAGAAACAAAAACCAAAAAAGGGAAAAAAGAAAAGAAAGAGTATTTCATAAGAACTATCGTGGTTAATCATATTGTTTCTATATACTCACGGCTCTTGACAGCTCTGACTCTCCTTCCGCCAACTCCACCACCTCCAAATTATTCTACAAACAAATTGTTCCATCAACTAAAGTTTCATAAATTCAAAAAATGAAAGCTATATTGAAAGAAATCGTACCTGTGATTCCTTCAACTTGGTCTCTGCCAAATACCGCTCGAATGCTCCATCCCCACGAAGAATTTTCCCCCCGCAACCGCTCGAATTTAGCGAACCAATCGACTCTTCATCAACGACGACGGCATCTACTCTATCGTTTCCGGTCTTAACATCCGGAATCTAAACATTTGGGAATTGAAGTGAGATTACATCAAAATGGGCATACAAGTAAAGACCTCATTGCTATATTCAGATGGTTTCAGCCTCAATATCTACCTCATACATGGCTTCGGTAAGAGTGCTTTCCAATATGGCTCTTAAGCCTCTGGCGCCAGTGTTCTTGGCCATTGCTTTCTGGGCAATCCGCCTCAGTGCTTTCTCTGTGTAATGCAGCTTCACCTGGAAATTGAATGGCGGTTTTATTAAGAGGGTCTGATTCACATTGATTGTTAGAGATGGAAATGGAGAGGGTTTGATTTGACGTAGGAAATCGTAGAAATCGGTAAGCATGAGAAAATACTCACGTTATTCATGCCAAACAACTTCTTGTACTGCTTGCCAAGAGCGTTCTTTGGTTCCGTGAGGACCTGTTAACAACGGCAAGTCCAAGGAAACTTTTGTACTCATTTTGGTTATAGAAAGAAAGTGCCAAAGAAAATCAACAGCACGCGTAACGTGCATATTTCATTATAAGATGGAGCCACCTTTCTACATTCATATATGACAAGCAAAATATGCAGTACTAATTACTAGAACGTGGATTGAGGTATGCAACCAAGGCTTAGATATTGAGCCCTGTGCACTGACGACTATTCAGACAAAAAATTCAAATGAATGAAATTGTGGACGAAATATGAAGTTTATTGTATATTGAGTAGTTAAATCTCTAACAAGAAATAACTTTTTAGTTCTTTCTTTTAGAGGAAGGCTTGATCTCTTCTTCGTATTTAACTTCTTGCAGGAAAATTCTCTGTTCTCAGGACTCATAATGGAACTTCTCACTTGGATGGAATTTGAACTATAAATGGGCATATTTGTGTATGATGAAAGTCTCAACTCAATCAGGCAAACCAGAACTTTACAAGTTTGTTCCAAATAAGTCAGAGGGATCCAATATAGTTTCATGAAATGAGTTGTAAGCATGATATAAGTGAAATAACAAAAAATCCACATATACCATTAAGAGGGCAGTCTAGAAACGTCGAACTTCAGCAAGGAAGATGATGCATGTTGGGCTACAGGGGAAGACAGAGTGACTATTGGAAGAGAGAGAAAAATACATAAGGGAACCAAAAGAACAAAGTATGTTTGGATTTCGAAGAGAATGTTTAATCCTCGTGGATCACAAGAAGCTGAAAATGAAAATTTTCCACTCTTTAAGGAATAAAAGAAAGGCTTTACTGAAAACAGAGAATTTACATTGTACTCTGGATAATTTTCATTACGAATAAATAAAAAGGAGATAAGTTTCTTAAAGGAGCTGAAATAAAAGGTTTCAGATTGTAGATTTGATAGAGAGAGAGAGGGAGAAAAAGGACAAGGAAGTTTTATATGAGAAGGTCCAATGGATAAAGAAAGAAGGCCATAGTCTTTTTTTATTCTTTTTATTTATTTTTTAATGAAAAACAAGTTTAAAAGAAAGAAATTTGGTTCTTCTATTTGCTTTGATAATTCACAAACAAGTTGAAAAGAAAGGCGTGGAAATAAAACAAATAATGAATTGATACCTGGACAAGCTGGTCCTCAGTTAAGGCTAATAAACTGACAAGAATTGGAAAACGCCCTATGAACTCTGGTATGAGGCCATATGCTATAAGATCAGAACTCTCAACCTGGAAAGCACCAAAATGAACAATTTAGAGAGCGCTAAATGGATTCTTGACCCTTTTATTAAGCAGAAATGAGGTGCCACGTCATCTCCATGCATCGATTATAAATTCAGAACATGTGGAAAAAATTAAATCAATGCAGAGGCTTAACGCCAAATCCCAAAAAATCCAAAGGGCTTTAGTTCTCACGGTTTCCAGTAATGATGATGTAACCGCAGCACTCGTTACCCCGCCCATTCTCATGTTAGCACGAACAGGTGCTCCAAAACCAATAGAAGAATCTTGCCGTCTGATCAGTAATAAACCATTTTAGTACTGAGAAAGAACCATTGAACACTGAAAAATGATGAGAATTAATGGAAAAATATCGAATAACCTACCTATCAGAGATTGTCTTTTCTAGATCTACGAACGCTCCACCACATATAAACAAAATATCTTTTGTATCTATCTGCAGAATTTTTCAACTCAATTAAAATATATTTTTTAAGTGGTAATCCCCATCCAGAAGAAAATATATATATCCAGTCTGTCAGTAATAAATACAGCCGAGTGTAAGACTCTAGCAAAAGAAACTCTAAACCAAGAAGCTAGAACTCCACTCTTCTCTGTTTACTCAGTTTATGTGTGTGTATAATATGTGTAGGACTCTCTCTATGCAAAGACACAGAAACTGATTTTTTTCTGAAAAATATCTATTGAAGAAAAACAAAAGTGTTAAAGCAGATACAGTTTCCAAAAAAATACGCACATACATGTCATCATTACCATACTGAACTTATAGCATCTAAAGATGGTTATCAAGGATAAGTAGATGTTGCAATACACTGTAAAACTTGCACATAGGTGAATAAAATAAATTTGAGAGTAATTTTTTAGTATATATTACCTGAATGCTATCACCCCGAGGATGTTTCCTTGCCCCCTTCTCAGGAACATTTACTATCTAGACAACAAGTCATACCCAGAATTTAGGATTCCACAAAAATGTAAAGCTAAAAATAATACTATAAGATTCATATTTTTCTATTCCATGCTGTGGAAATTAAATTACAATTAATCACATTGATAAGGAAACAGAAAGTTCCAATCAACAAGAACAAGAACAAGAAGGTAGAAGCGATCATTGAATCATCTATATGTTAGGGACAATCCTACAATGGTTGTCCAGTTTGGACATAAGTGCTCGTGGATTTGCTTTTGATCTGACCAAAAACACCTCATACTAATGGAGATATTATCCCTCATTTATATACCTATAATCTTCCCCTTATAAAAGTCCTCTTGACTTTGCTTTTGATTTCACTCAAAAGGTCTGATATCAATAGAGATATTGTTACTCACTTAAAATATTCATAATCTTCCCCATTGCATATAAACAATCTGGACCTAAAATGTTAATGGACCTACACGTGAAAGTTAGTCCATCAATCTCATTTTTCTTATTTCACAAATTAGATCGTTAAATGGCATCATAAACAAATCCCATAGTCCTGTCAAGTATCACTAAGCATGAAGTTATTATTAATTTGTTGAAAATTTCTATTATAAAAGATGTTGGAAAAGATAAATACAACTTTCAACAGATGTGAAGCCATCAAGAAAAGATAAAAACTATTGTAGGTACGTTGGAATTAGAGAATTTAAAAGCTAACAATCCTACTACAAAAAAAGAAGCTTTATCAACTTGTTAAAAAAGATAATGCACAAATCCACCAGTTTGAGCCAAGTCAGCTATTGATGCTGACAGGCCTCCCTCCAGATCTCAATTATCATCTTGATAAGATCTTCAAGCTCTCAAAACTTTTTTTTGTTTTATAGTAAGCCAAGCTTTCATTGAGAAACGATGAAGGAGAACAAATACAAAAGGGCCCCCTAGGAGGAAACTACACTGGCCCTCTCATAACATGAGGGAACCCAAGATTCAAATTAAAGCTACAAATCCTGCATTGCCACCCATTATCTTCAGTAGCATAGAAAGTGGGTAGTCCTCATCAGCACACCACAATAATGCTTTGTTATCAAATTTCTTCACCAAACGTCCTTCCACTTTCACAACCCTTCCCAGCCTAATTCAATAAAATCCACAACCCCTTTCTTGTCAATTTTCAAGACATGGGCGAAGGATGTTGGAGGTAGAAACTTCAACTCCTTCCTACTCTCCAGCTTGGTGCCCTTTCAAGACCCAGAGCATTTGAATCTTCTATCATCCTTATGAACACTTTCCAACCGTCATGCTTTCTATCTTCTAGAACCATTACACAAGACTTCTGCCCATTGCTATCTAACTTTAAAAACTTTGCCTAGAACCTCCACTAAGTAAGATACACCCTATTGCCTTTGTCTAAAGAAGCTATCTGACTTTGGAGAGGTAAGGATAACTCTGAACCAGTTCAATGCCCAATCATATGAATGGAATGTAAAAGTCAAAAAGCACATTAATTGATATCCACTAAGTAAGATACACCCTATTGCCTCTGTGCTTTTCGTCAACACTCGCACTGAAAATCTTCCTCTTTACAACACAAATACAGCAGCATCTAGGAACATCTTTCGATTAAGGCATATATTGTCCAAGTAAGGTATGCAAAACAAAGAGAGCAAGAGAAAAGAGGATGAGGAGAGAGGAGAGCTGCTAGAATCCATCATCCAATGCTCTTCCTCTACTCTTCATTTACCGACACATGAAGCTTCTCTCATGTCTGCTACAATTACGACAAGCATACAAAAGTAAGGTGCATGTTTTAGTCCTGACTTCAAATTTCCAAATTCCAAGTATAATTCCATCTCCATAAAAGGTAAAATGCAAATTCCACTCTCATACACAATGGAATGATTATAACTTGATACCATGCATTTCTAATTTATGATTTATAMCCCTTATTTTCAGAACTAGTTTAACGACCACTCACTCATCCAAATCAAATGGAAATGTCATGTGATCACTCCAATTTCTAGACAAAGACCATGTGGGTTTCACCATTTCCCTATCATTTGACTAATTAAGTTGACAAAGGTTTACCAATACTTCTTTGTGGAGTTCGGTTTCTAAGGTTTTTTGTAATTATCAGTTAGGTATTATTCTTCTGTATTGGAGCCCTTTTCTTTAGTGGGTGTCCTCTTGTAGGGCTGCTTTTTTTTTATGCTCTTGTTTTTCCTTTCATTTTTCTCAATGAAAGCATGATTTCGTATAAAAAAAAAAAAGTTGACAAATGTTTACCAATTTCAAAAGCTTAGGGCTCCAAAACTTCATGCAGTAAATATACTTAAGTTCAAAATTATAACCATAACATGAAGTACATGGTGAAATTATTATTCATAAAATAGTGATAACGAAAATTGAAAAAAAAAAACAAAAACAAAAACAAGATATACTCAATTTGAAGTGTTCTATAGAAAATTGGACAGATAATTAAGTTCCAATAAGACAACTGCAACAAGTTTAATATACTTGAGAGAAAATTTCCTAAAAACAAAAAGATAAGAAATAAAATAATATATAATATATTACATGTAAGCGGGTATACAAAACCCTTACGAAAATGCCTACCAACCATACGATAAGAAATTGAATGTCCATGGACATATACAATAGGTATTTCCAGTTAAATTGCATGCATAAATTAGTTAACTAAATCCGATCGGTTCAGCTTGGCTAAGTTTAAGGCTTCACAGTGGTGTTCCATATCATGTTTGTTTGAAAATTATTCTCCTTCACTTATCTGTTTTAATTGGGGAGCTTTTAGTTTATCTCTTAACCTTTGAGTTTATTTTGTTATCTGTTATCTGTTATATTTTCTTTTCCTTTTGTTTATTTCACTCCTTCGAGATGAACATTTTCATTCATTTTCATTAATTCAATGAGAAGTTTGTTTCTTGTTCAAAAAAAAAAAAAAAATAGTTAACTAAAGCCAATAAGAAAAGTTTAAAGTAAGAAGAATAAAGAAATCACAACCGATATGGCAATACAAATTTCTCATTGGACACGTTAAATTGGGCAAGTAATGCATAGGAAATGAATCAAGTGATAAAGTTTAATTGACTCACGGTTCCTTCTAGCATTTTTAATAATGCCTGTTGAACACCCTCACCAGAAACATCTCTGCTAATATTTAGACTCTCAGCCTGAGAAAAAGGATATGAATTAACAAGGTTTATGTTAATATAGTAGATCTCTATAAAGAAAAGAGATTGATTAATTTAAAAATCATCAAAACCTTCTTTGTTATCTTGTCGACTTCATCAATGTAAATCATCCCTTGTTGAGCTGCTTGTACATTGAACTCTGCTGCCTAAATACATATAAAAAATGTGGATCAATATTAGCTGCTCATAGATTTAAAAGGCAATATCCGGATAATTCTACATTACACTGATAGTTGAAATCAAGAGCCCAGAAACACTTCATCACTCGTAGAGCAACATTGATAATGGCACGAGATTGACTTAAGCCAAGCAACATTTGCTGATTTTTCAGCTAGCTGGTGAAAAGATCCAAATTATTGCTAGTGTCATATTTAACTGAAAATAGAGGTGATGTTTGAGGTATTAGCTTTTTCTCTATAATAACATTTTCTCAATTTGTTGAGCTAAATTATCTTAATTAATAAACCGTATCAGCTCTAACCTAGCAGATTGATGAATGAGGATTGAGCCTATTTTTCAATTTCTTCATCTTTACAGAAACAGAACAATTTCTTGAGCTCAAAGTTTATCTGAGTTGAAAAACACCATTCTTAAAAACTAGCACTCTTTCATCCGTTAATTGTCAAGCATCCTATTTTTTACAGTCTATTATAAGTTGACCACCATATATAAATTAACAAGAAAAAAAAAATAAAAAATGAAGGAAAACCAACCATTGTAGTTATGAAATAAATAAAACTACTAAACAAGGCAGAAATGAAGGACATATAAAAGAAAACCAAACACAACTCGATAAAATCAGCTAGTTAGGAGGGAAATTGCTAAACATGAAGCTTACAGTGAGTAGCTTGTACAAAATTGATTCAACGTCTTCTCCAACATAACCGGCCTGCAAAAAGTAACAATGTCATCTATTAATTCAACCACAAACCTTCATAGATGTTCTTTTTTTATTTTGAGAAGAAGCTGATATTGTATTATTAATCATTTAAAATAATTAGCGTTGGTGGCTTGGGGCATATGAAAAATGAGGCAAATGAAAGCAACGTGGCTTCTGGTTATCTACAAGAAAGTTAAAGGATTGCTTCTACATTTATTGTCCCCTCTCCCTTTTGAGAGAGGAAGCAAACAAAAGAACAAGAAACCCTTGAATGAAAAGCTTGATTACATTACAATGACCATCTAGAATACAAAAGGCAAGAAATTCCAAAATATATGGACTTAACACTCCTAGGAACAATAAGTAAAGCATTTAACTCTATCTCAAGCAACTTCCACATCTTCATTCTCATTTTTCATTTTTCAAAAATCATTTCTTCCTTTTCAATCAATTAACCAACACATTACCAAACCACAAAGTTGGCTCTTTCAGATAAAAGGAGAAAGAAACTTGATAAGAAACTTCTTGAACAAGGCATTTTATATAATTCAGCTATTTGATTTAAATTAAGTCTCTACAATAATGCTAACATCTTACAGAATGCATCTAGCTCCAAACGTTGCATCTACCACAGAGTAGCATCACGTGCATTTCCCATAGGATTTTAGGGTTGCGTCAATGAAGGATAGGAAAAAGTAGAGGTATGGAAACCTTCTACCATAGGAAGGAAGGAACCCAACTAAACTCAGAAGTGTTCCCATAACCTACTCCAAGCAAGGGTTAACAGGTACAAAAATGATCAAAGGTCTCTTTTTTCTTCTCTAACAAAGAGTGCATATATTGGAATTCTTTTCTGGATAAACAGAGAATCTATTGGTGCCTTCTCTTCCTCCAAACAAACTGCGCAATTCTAAAACAATCTTCTCCTTTTAGGCACCTCATGCACCAATCAAGATATATCTCACAAAAAGACCAGCACATTAATTTGAATTAGAAGCCCATAAATTATGAAGATAAGTGTTTAATACTGAAAAGTTTCTTGATGCCATTTGAGCCACACAACCCAATACTTTAACCATACAAGTTCTCTTTGATTTCTCCTTAAATTTCCATGCATGATCTACTCCCAGTTTGTGGGTTAGGGCCAAATAATTCCATAGACATTTATAATCGTCCACCAAATGGGGGTTGCAAAAGAAAAAATACAAATAATAAATGGTGTATTTCCACTGTCCACAACTTTCCTTTCAGTTCTAGTTAGACACCCTTCACACATTAGCTACCAATTTTGATTATTCTACGGGAATAAACCAGTAGTTTATCTTTCATAAAAGAAACATTGGAAAACTTTTCAATCCTGGCTCTCAAGGACTTCTCTAAGGAAGAAAAACTTGATACTCTGTAGTCTGTATCAAGAAAAGGTACTGGAAGGGTCGGACTTTTGAGATAAAAAAGAAAAGTTTCTTAACGTGTTTAAATCACATCTTCCACCTTCAAATATCATAATAGTTATAAAATATCCATCCGACATGAAAGCTCTCTCCCATTATTTACCCTTTAATTGCTCCCTTACCTAATTGAATTTCAACCTAAGGCCCAAGAATTGTGCTGCAATTGAGCTGCCCCTTTTCAAAAAAAATAAAATAGCCGCACCAGCAAAATTGTAAAATGCTGTGAACATTCCTAGTCCCAAGAAACTCTTAACTTTTCTCATTGTGGCAAGGCTCAAGTTCAATTCTCAAAAGAGATGACTTCATTAAGAAAATACCAAGCTTAGAAAGTCATAAATAGTTTACCATGGAATTCTTCACAAATAAAAAATGGTAAAATAAGATAATTAGAATGTGCCAGAAATTCATAGTGAACATATGAACATCACATCTTACAGTTTCCGACAAATCATTCAGAGAGGAAGAGAAGAAAAAAGAAACTCACTTGTGTTAAAGTTGTAGCATCAGCAATGACAAATGGCACATTAACAAATCGAGCCAAAGTCTTTGCAAGTAGCGTCTTCCCTATTTTACAATTTGCAAATTAGAACAGTGCTTCAATACATCATGGATGCTCAACATCAGGCCAATGACAAACAGCATCAGTTACATTGGAATTCGGTAAGTGTAAAAGGCCATACCAGAGCCTGTTGGGCCCATCAAGAGAACATTGCTCTTTTCTAACTCCACGTTATCGTCATCATCTATCACATCTTGGTTTCCTGATTCAGTTCCTGACCTGCTGTATGAATCCACAACAACAATAACAGCTATTCATAGATATGGAGTTAAGGGAAATTTTTTTATCAAATGACAATTTTAATGCAAATGTTATAGAAAAAAAAAAAAAAAAAACTAACCCTTTTTGCAAGGAAGCATGATATATTCGTTTGTAATGGTTATGTACAGCCACAGAAAGTACCTGGGAAAGATAAAGAAAACTTTCTTTGAAATTTTACAATGGTTGGGTTCATAAAATAATAATGCAATAAATCCGCACACGATTATATAACTTCCCGCTAGTTCCAGTCACCTAAGTTTTGCGAGAACACATCTTCAGACTGCATATCATAGCTTACACTCATTCACTCGTTGTTAACAACGTGCTAGATGGTGGTCAAAAATAAAAGACCAAGTTAACTTATTTAAGCAATTAACTGCATGATAGCTAATTTATTTAAGCAATATCACTTAAAAGGCTCTAAACTAAATATGTGCATGTTTATGCAGAAAAGCCACGATGAAATGCATACTAATGATAATCTCATCAGGTCGCTGAAAAAGAGTTGACAAACCTTCTTGGCTCTTTCTTGGCCGATAACAAATTTGTCCAAACCCCTGCAAATCTCTTTTGGAGTGGGTAGATCCTTCCCCAAATTCGATCCTCCCCATTCGATCTTCTTCCCATCACCGGCGCCATTTCCACCAGAACCCGAGGTACTTCCCCCTGGACCTGAAGCACGAATGAAGTTCGCTCCAGGCGCAAATGGCGGACCTGGAGGAGAATGCACCTGCAACCCATTAGGGGGAGGCGATCCAGGAGGCCAATTCTCAGGCGGCTCCCCACCATACGACCTCACCGTCTCAAAAAACGCAACTCTCAGCCTATTATTCACATAATTATCAACAGTAGAACCGGCCATGGGACTACTACTTTTACCATCTTTGGTAGTAATTCTTCTTTCTGATGAATTCTTGGGTTTGGAGTTAAGATTGCCGATCTCGATGAAGCTGCCCTGCAGAGGAGCGATCTTGTAAGGGCGGAAGTAGTAAGCGGTCTTGCAATTGGGGCACAAATTAACGGCCTCGTAAGCTTCCCTTCCTCCTCCAGCAGCCTTGGGAGGAGCATCGCAAGAAAAAGGAATAGAGGAAGAAGGAGGATTAAGCGTTGGGAAATGGCGGTTAGAGAAGAGAATATCCATATGCTTGGAGCAACGTGGGCAATTGGCCTCCGCCCGAATCTTACGGATTGGGGTACTCGTGTTGTTGGACTGCGAACGGAAATCATCAGAACCAGACCCGCCGTTGTCCCACTTGTAGCGCTCCTGAACGCCGATGAACGATTCTCGCCGGCGATGACTGGAAACATGGAGATAACTGAGATGGGTCGAAATGGGGCAAATCTGGGTCAATCGGTGATTGGGATTTGAGAAGCAGAGCAGCCTTATTGCCTTCAACGTCTTCTTCCATTTGAAGATCGCACTGCCACCACTTCCAGACATGTATAAAATTCAAAAACACGAGGAGATTAGACACTTCCTGGGGAACCCAGATTGAATCCGACTCAGTTGAAGCTCCGAATCTCGAGAAACGAGAGACGCAAACTTGGGAACCGGATTGTAAATTTATTCAAGGATTGTGAGGATGGGAAGGAATGCGGGAAAGAAAACAGGGAGAGGAGTGAAGGAAAAAGAGGATAAATTTGGGAGCGTTTCAAGGAGAAGCGAGCGGAGGAGGAGGAGAAATGGAGAGAGAGAGAGAAGACCATTTTCTTTTCCCCTTCTCTCTCATCTTATTCTTGCTTCAACTGCTCAGAGATTTCAGTTCTCAAATGGATTATGGATATTGTGTATTTTTTGAGAATTTCTGTCTGAATTTCGTTGCTTGATTCTTGACGCATCTGCTCATGCTGTGTGTAATAAAGGGTAATTCTTAGTTTGTACTGTTTTGAACTCATCAATCCCACGGTTTCTACTTCCTATTGTGTTGAAAATTCCATGGCCATTTCTGATTTTATATTTTCTCCAATACTTTGGAGAAAACAGTGGAGATTCCAACTCAATAGTTAAAGAGCATACATTAGACTTTCTATTTTTCCTGTGCGTCTGTACTTTTAAAATGTTCCATKTAAGTAATGTACTTTTAATTTAATTTTTATTATTTTAATTAGTTTTAATCATTATATTTTCAAAAGGTGTACTTTCTTCCAGTAATTTTAAAAAGTTATTATTTGGTTTTTTTCCGTAAAATTTTACATAACAACAAAACTATTTAATATAACATTTCTGCAACATTATAATAAAATTATTAAATATAATGTCATGTCGAAATTATGATCAAAAAATGAGATAAAAAAATATATAGAAATTATACTAAATTGCACGAAATGAATATGTATTTACAAAAATATCATACTTTTATTTTTTTTGCAAAAATGTTACCAAAGTAAGTTTTAGTTGGTTGTGATTTGTAATTTATACTATTTTTRTAAAATTTTAAACCTAACTATATACACAAATATATATATTTCTTTTCAGCTAATTTTATAATTCTCTCAAAAATTAAAAGCATAGATATCAAAATGAAAAAATCAAAAATCAAAATTATCGAAAATAATATTTAAACCTAAAGTATATTATCTCCCRTMATTTTTTTTAATCGTACAACAATCATGGACATGGGGATGAGAATTGAATCTTCGACCTCCAGAAAATGACTTTAACTKCTAAACCGAACTAGCTCTCCTAATATATTTAATCTACCTCATAATAACATATCGATTTTGATATATGAAAGAATAAGAATTTAGAGATTTGAAGAAGGAACAAGTMCACGAAATTATTTTAGGAGTTTCCAAAATTTGACCCAACTTTTAGARACGCTTCTCAAAATTTAGAAACAARAAATAAGATAGATTAACAGACAAGTCTCATCTAAAAAAAATAAGAAAYGAAAATAAAACGTTACCAAACGAGCCATCTTCGCTTACCTTTTCTCTTCTTATGTTCCTCAAACGCATCAAATACTTGGGAATTATTTATAGACGAAGGTTTCCTAAACAAAAAAAACTTTCCAAAATTGGCCTTTATTTCATAATCCTAACGAATAATTCGAAAATTGTCGTCCATCAAAGAACGACTGTTATTCAAACTCAACACCTAGAAAGCAGAAGAAAGAAACAATGGCGTCGGTTCCAATTCAACCTCATTTAAACCAATTAGTTCTATCAGTGCTCGAAAAATGCAGTCATCTCAATCACCTCAAGCAAATCCAAGGCTTTCTCATCTCTCTTGGCCACTCTCAGACTCAGTTCTTCGCCTTCAAGCTCGTCCGCTTCTGTAATCTTACTCTTGCTAATTTATCTTACGCTCGCTTCATTTTCGATCAATTGAACTCCCCAAATGTATATCTCTACACTGCAATGATCACTGCTTATGCATCTCAGCCCGATTCTAAAGCCGCGTTTGTTTTGTACCGTGACATGGTCCGCCGAGGAACTCCTCGACCCAACCATTTTATCTACCCCCATGTTCTGAAATCTTGCCCCGAGGTTTYGGAGTCCAATGCCACGCAAATGGTTCATGCCCAGATTCTGAAATCTGGATTTGGTCGATACCCAGTTGTCCAAACGGCCATTGTTGATTCCTACTCGAAGTTCTGTTCGGAYATTGGAATTGCACGACAGATGTTCGATGAAATGATTGARAGAAGTGTGGTGTCTTGGACGGCTATGATTTCTGGGTATGCGAGGCTTGGGAACATTGATGATGCAGTAGCCTTGTTTGAGAGTATGCCTGAGAGGGATGTCCCTGCTTGGAATGCTATTATTGCTGGATTTGCTCAGAATGGATTCTTCTGTGAAGCAATTTGGTTGTTTAGAAGAATGGTGTCCCTGGCAATGGAGGATGATGAGGAGCGTGAAAACAAGCCAAACAAGATCACAGTTGCTTCTGCACTTTCAGCTTGTGGGCATACTGGGATGCTTCATCTTGGTAAGTGGATTCATGGTTATGTTTTCAAAAGTCTTAGTCAGGATTCATTTATCTCAAATGCTCTACTTGATATGTATGGGAAATGTGGCAATCTAAAAATAGCGAAAAGGGTTTTTGATATGATTACTTTAAAAAGCTTGACGTCGTGGAATTCATTGATAAACTGTCTTGCACTCCATGGCCATAGTGAAAGTGCAATTGATTTATTTGTAAAGTTGGTTGAATGTGGGGATGGCGTGAAGCCAGATGGGGTTACTTTTGTTGGTGTGTTGAATGCTTGTACTCATGGAGGATTAGTTGAGAAAGGTTACTCATACTTCGAAATGATGAGGCAGGACTATGGCATTGAGCCTCAGATCGAACACTTTGGGTGCTTGATAGACCTTCTTGGCCGTGCAGGACGGTTCGAAGAAGCAATGGAAGTTGTGAGGGGAATGAATATTGAACCAGATGAGGTTGTATGGGGTTCTTTACTAAACGGATGCAAAATCCATGGCCGGTCAGATTTAGCTGAATATTCAGTGAAAAAGTTGATCGAGATGGATCCAGAAAATGGCGGTTATAGAATTATGCTGGCAAATATATATGCGGAGCTCGAAAAGTGGGATGAGGTTCGCAAGGTTCGGAAACTTTTGAAAGAGCAAAATGCTTATAAAACACCAGGCTGCAGTTGGATCGAAGTTGATAATCAGGTCTATCAGTTCTATTCTTTTGACATGACACATCCCAGTGCAGAACAGATATACAAAACCTTGGAAAGTRTGATCAGTTTTATGTAAAAAGCAAATGAAGATTTGACATCAGATGAGAGCGTATCCTGCACTCCATGTGTTAGCTTGCGGTAGTCGGCACGAGAAGGTYGAACTACAAGAGGATACTGAAGCTCTATCCTCCACTTCTCTCCTTTCATGAAAGATATCTCCCCTATTTTACCTTTTACCTATTGAGAGGCAGTTGGAAATCTACTTTCTCCTCTTTGTATGTGCATATGATAACTCTTTACAAAACACAAAGCATAGGAGTAACATAGTGCAATTTCCAAGTTAGAGTAAAATGGCCGATGGGGAAGTTCTGGGAGTTTTTTTCTTTAACAAATCAAAGGTAAATGACTGTTTTTGCTATGTCTACCAACTTGTCCATGGACATGTATTGGTTATTATGGTAGTTATGGTATAGCAGGAATTTGCTGCTTCATAAGTTGGAAGAATAGCAATCCCAAGAAAGTGAAAGTTTTCATTTGGGAGATTATTCTTGAAAGTATCAACACTTTTGATGATAAGTAGTTACAAGGAAGGTTGCTGGCTTGATTTTCATTCATGCGATCAAAGCTACTAAGTTTTGGAACCTGCTACTTTTCTCTATCTGTTTTCTCTCCTCCTCGGTCGTCTTTTCAAGGATAAGGCTGAAAGTTTTTGGCTCAATTTTATTAGAAGCTTCAAGTTTTTGGCTCAATTTTATTGGGAGCCTATTTTTTATGACATTGGAGGGAAAGAAGCCACTTATTTTCTAGAGGAAAACGGAGAGATTTTTGTATCTTATATGGATAATGTTCTTTCTTGTTACATTACAGCTTCTTGGTGCAGGCTAAGCTTGTAATTAACTATTGCTATTTAATATTTATTGATATTTTGGCTAATTAGAAGGGATTSCAGTAGCCTTCTTATCTGGCATTCCTCCCTTTTCTTTTTCTTTTTGTATATTTCATTGATAGTTATGCTAGAATTCAAGTTCTTGCTGGCCTATGAATTTAGTGCTTTTACAGAAGACTTCTTAATTATGTAGACTTTCTTTTACTTAGTGTGTCTGACAATGCCTTTGGTCTACCCATRGGTGGAAGATTCATTAAATCGCGAAACGTTGCCCTTTACTTTCAGATTATCGCATTTATCGCATTAACCCATGCGATAAGGCCAAGATACTTTGATTTTTTACCGTTTCACAAACATACTTTGATTTTTTACTGTTTCACAAACATGATCATGGACCACGTACAGTCACTAGGACCTTTCAAAAGGATCGTTTTTTGAGCTTGATGCACTTTCGATCTTGTTCTCAACTCCAGGTCTGGTCTTTTAGGCGAGAATTTACTTTATAGAGTGGTTTCTACATATGTAAGATCCTTAACCTGCTCCTTCAAGGAGATGTTTTTTTTAGCTTACCAATCTTAGGCCGATCTTTTTTTTTTCCTTTTTCCAAACCGAATGCTTGTTTGAGTTTGTTGGATTCTAATGCCATCTTATTATTCATATAGTTTTCATCTCAAAACTAATTAACAAAGAGATGAGTAATTTATGTATTTATAAACCTTGTTAAGTCTTTTAATATTTTCGATATAGGATTTTTGACCMGGTTAGYTTTATCTAAAGATTCTAAGGTAAGTCTGGGAGGATGGCTTTTGAAAAAGTGAAAATGCTTGCAGTATTTTCAAATTTTTCCTAGTTTTCTTGACGTGATTTTGAAAATYTCAAATTCAAAAGCCCTTTGCTTCCTCTAAACATTTGGCAAAGTTGAAACCTTGTCGTCAAGTAAAGATTTGTCATCCTTGTTCGATACGTCTCTGTTAGACAAACAGGGAAGAGTCTAATTCAAATTTCATAATAACACGTCTCCATCTTCCTTTAATCATATGTATTGCAATTTTATCACACAAATAAAAACACTTTTGAAATTTTAAATCATTTTTCAAAGAAACATTTTAAAGTCAAATACTCCGAAAAAATGATTCTCAAGGAACTCCTCACGTACCTATTGGTGACTCGTCCTTTCGCTTCACTCATTTATTGACGTAAAAAAAAAGACTGAAAGACCTATCCTACCCTTCCCATTATGTACGTGAATTAGGCCCTTGCTCGGGATTGGGTGGTTGAGGAAAAAAAACATAAGCCTCGTATGTATTACCAATCGGAACTCTTTATTGCCCTAGAGCCATAAACGTTGGCCATTCAAGATSTGAGGAATAACCCTTAGGAAAAGAGTTCAATTGTCAAAACTCTGCTCTCCCCTTGTGTAGTATATAAATTGCTAACCGCAAGTGTACGGGTCAAGTTTTAATATGGTTGATAAGTAAACATACCGATATCGCCTTCATAATTGGGTTTCTAGGTCATACCACGTATACTTTTGCCCAATTTTATGTAGAAAATCAAATTGGAATATTGTAATATGATTAAAGCAAATCATCGTAAATGGTTAAAGAATGTAAKTTCAATGRGAATAACGATCTTAGGGAATAGATTTCAACGATTTAATCTATGAACCAATTATTTAATTAATCAAGATTGAAAGTTTCCTTACTAAATTATGAAACCAATATCTCTATCTAATTTTGTCACAAGTAAAAGCTTTAATGAACAAGTCTTTTAACAACATMTAAAGAAATTCTAAATCTCCCCATCTTAAAAATCCMTTCAGTTATGAATCTTAGTTCTCAACTCTCAACTACCTCTCCTAGCGTAAGATTGCAAATTTAAGATCTATGGCCAGTAGATTAAAGGCATGGAGCAGAAACATAAATAGAAAAAACAAATGCATTCAATCAAGAAAATCAAATAATTAATCTATTAATGACTACACCAATCCCTAAGACAAGAAAATTTAGCTACTCATGTTTATGATTAAACTAGTAAAATAAAATAAAAGAGATAGGAAGTGAATCTGTCGCATTGATKGATCGTCTCAAACTCAATCTCCACGATCGATCTTCAAAACTCGACTTCTTCCTCGAAATACTCTGCAAATTTCACTCTGGGATCTCCCTCCAATTGATCATGAAGGTCCTTATTTATAGAAAAGTTCAGGACAGCGTTGAGACGCTAGAGGCAGCGTCTCAACACTGTGCCTTAAATGCTAAAAAGAARCGGATCCTAGCGTCGTAGCGTCGAGACGCTGTAAGTGGCGTTGAGACACTACGACGCGAAGCGTTAATTGTCTCACTTTTCATCGTAGCATTGAGACGCGCTCTAAATTATAATGTGAGACTTTCTCAACTTGCTCGGGCTATGGCTTTCTCAACTCGCYCGGGCTATGGCTTTTCATTCTATTTGATCAATTTGATGTCCCAATTCTTCTTGTTACCTTATTGCTACAAAATAACATTTATATGCGTGTAAATTTGTCATAAAGAAATGAAAACTAACAACTAATTCTATTARAATGATTATAAAATATAGCATGTATCAGAGGCTATCACCCCACTAGAAAGACGTTCGTACTTAACTTAGCTCTCCTACCCCTTTGATGAGTCAATTCCTTTTGGATCTCGATTTCTACCTTTATCTTTCCCGCCTTTATCTTTAGAAAAAACCTATAGAACTACCTAATCGAAAATTACATTAAAATCACATTTGTAGAATAACTTTAAAGATGATTAAACATTATGCAACTTCTTGGTGCGTGCTTCAAAAAAAAAGAAAAAAAAATCCAAAATTTTGGTTTTATATTTGTAGGTGGGCCGTGCAAACTGTAAATTGTAAAGAAAGTCCAAKTGCTACCAATGATCTCCTTTAGCCGTAGTCAAAGTGAGCATAGCTGAACGGTGACATATATCTCCACCAAAWAAGTTGTGAGTTCAATCTCTCATCCCACATATTATACTAAAAATAATAATAATCTCCTTTGTAAATTTTCAATACTTCAATAGAAAATAAAAAAGTTTGTATCATGTAATCATTTTTTTTAGTACAATGAGTAAGGATGGAGGATTCGAATTCATCATCTCTTGATCAGAGACAGATGTCAATTACTGTTGAACTAAGCTCATGTTAACGTATCATGCTCATCCTTACTCCTAGAGGTTGGAAGTTTTTGTTTCTTTTTTAAAACCTAGTTAGCAACACGTGCAACCGTAATCGRACAACTGCAGGAGCTTCCAGTAGTGATAGCTACCCCCACCAGATGGGCCGAACCTGAACTAATAATTATAAAACTAATAACCAACTCATCGCTTCGCATTATCTAGAAGAAAAGGAATAGCGATGGATTCCTATGGATCAAGAACAAGCTGAGTAAACTTGTTCCATTTTAATGCAAGTCTAAAGAGAGGGAGGGGTGAAGTCTACTCGCTATTAGCACCGCCCAATGGTTTTCTTTTTCGAAAGAACTTAACTAATAAGGCCTTTTTCTAGATGTTGAAACAAAATCAGAGGTGGAAATACTGGTAAATGGCTCAGCAACTACCCCGATTGAATTATTTGAGTCAATCCTTTAGCTACCGTTGTATCTCTTTAGCGAGCCATATGTTTTATGCTTAATATTGTAAATCTACTTAGATCGTCACTGAATCCATTGTTGATAATATGAAACTGAGTATGAAAGAAGAAAAAAGTTAGAAAAATTTAATGGGGGATTGGTGAAAATATTTTGAGAATGCAAAATATAGATTTAGCATAAAAAAAATCTAGAGAGAAATAAGAGTAAAGAAAAAATGTTTATATATAGTTCAAATAATTGTATAGAATGAGTGWAAAAAAAAGTAGAGAACCAAAGAGCTGCAAAACTCTTAAAATTCCAAAATTTTTTATATTAAAAAATTAAATATAATTAAATGTTATAATTATTCAATTAATTTGTGTTAAAATAAAACTTTTCCTATTACATTTTATGATTTAAATTAAATTAATATAATTTAATAATTATTGATAATTAATTATGAGAGACATTTTCTTAATTTAAAATTTTATATAAAAATAAAATTGTCCAAATATATTTTACAAAAGATAGTAGATGTTTTTAATCTATTTTAGATATAAATTTATAATTATTTTTTAAAAATAAATTGACAGAACATCTTTATATTGAAACTTTCACAATTTTATCATTTTTTTTNTTTTTTTTCTAAATATAATTATTTAACCATTAAAACATTATAACTTAAAAAATTTCATTATTAATTTAGGAATAAATTCACAACAATTTTATTCAAACTTTTCCGACTTTTTTTCCTTAGTTCATTTTAACTTAAATAAAGGTATCAAAAGATTTTTGAAAATTTTTTGGAGGACGGCGTAGAGAGAGGGGACAGAGAATGAGTGAAATTTGAGGGGGGGGAGAGAATGAGTGAAATTTGGGAGGGAATGTTGAAATGACAAAATTGGCATCAAAATAATAAAGAAAACATTAAAATTAAATGATAAAATAGGGACCTTAACAAATTTGACTTTTTTAGGACACTATATGGTGATGAAGATTCGAACTCACGATTATTTGGTCGGAGATAGATGCATTAGCTAGTTAAGCTATGCTCAGGTTGGCTTAACAAATTTGGTTGTGGAATGAAAGCATCAACATTTTTTTCAACCTACGTTGATTTGGTTGGTTTTGTTAGGAGTGTAGAGGCAAAGTCCCACATTACGTAGAAAATGAGGAAATACGATGTATAGGTGATGACAATTATTTTTATTCCTACAAGATTTCCTTTTGAGTGAAACCAAAGCAAAATTATAAAGATTATGTTCATGGTGAAAATTATATATTATAGAGAATGAAGATACCTAAATTTAGGATCGATAACATATTGTTAGTTTTTTTTTTGTTTTTTTTATTTTTATTTTTAGTGAAACACACTTTTAGTCCATGAGTTTTGAGTAGGTGTCAATTTGGTCATTGAAGTTCAAAAAGCAACAATTTAGTTCGTGAGGTTTGATAAATAGTTTTAAATGGTCTCTGAGTCAATTTTACGGTTAGTTTGACTAACGGAAAAATGACGTGGCATTTGAGGTGTCAATTTTCAGATGAGGTAACAATTTTTATTAATCTTATATTTATTTAGCTTTAGGTTGTTTTATTATTATTATTATTATTATTTAATTTCTTTCTTTTTCCCTATTCCCTCCCCTCCCTCCTCCAACTTGAAAGTGAATAATTCCTCCCTGAATTTTCTGTGCATGATTAATTCTCTTCCATTATGAACTATTCCTTTCTTTGATGAAATACTTTAGCTGACCTTAAGTTGAAATGCAGCAGACTTTCTAAGGAAAGCGCATAATTAATTTAATGTCTCATTATTAGTGTGTCGTTAAAAATTCATACCTTAAAGTACTGTCTCTCAATTAATTAATATTTTTTTTTAGAACAACATGTTCCTCTTAGTTGGAGATAAATACCAATTACCGTTGAACTATAAATTGAGAGACACTTTAGCCAAGTATCTCTCAATTTAAGCAAGTGTATATTTTATGCCTTCAAATTCTTTGCTTCTATCCTTAAATAAAAATTGTTGTTCAGTTTGATAAGGAAATTGCATTGTATTCCTGTTTAGTTTTTTCAAATTGATAAACATTCGTCTATATTATAATGAGGATGAGTCTCTTACAGAACAGTACTTGAGACTCATTCAGTATACTTTACAAGGATTCATAAACAATTTCAGCCTTTTCTTATTGTGTTGGCTACAAATAAGAGTTATTAATATCATAGTACAAATAAAAGTTAGTTGTTCTTACTCATAGGTTAATATGGTCTATATAATGTAATTTATATTATGCCTTTGGTTGTCAAAATTGTTATTATTTCATCAATTCTTAGTAACACARCTTAAATTTTGCTGGGTATTACCCTTAATATTTTCCTCTTCCACAGTTCTGAAAACTAAATCAACTACAATCATATGAGAAAAATAGGGAAAGCAAACGAACGACACAAGTAAATTTATAATGTTTCACCAAATTATAGACTACGCCTAGTTTTCTGCCACAACGAGTTCTTCTATGATATTGAGATAAATATAATGGGGTCACATACGCTCTACAAAGAATCTCTAGATGCCACAACAATTACCACCTAGCTTCTAAGCACTATGATAATAGCTATCTAGAAATACATAATGAAAAACCTCACTAATCTCAAGAGAACAAAATACATAATGAAAAACCTCACTAATCTCAAGAGAACAGACTGCCGACGATACTCTACACACCCCTATCCTCCTTTTTCTTCTCTGCCAACAAGTTACTGCCGCCTGTGCTGCCACTCCCTTCTTGTTTTGCTTTCCAACTCACGGTCAGGCTAATTAAGTGTGTCGGCCAAAGACTAAAAAAGTTTTGTTATATAAAAGACGTGATGGACTTTAATGAGTATTTAGTCCCAATTGTAACATTGATTCTTTTTTTTTCCTTTCTTTTTATATTTTCCAATTGTTTTGTCTTCGATTCCAACAAATTTTTTGTTAATCTTGGTGGGTCTGATTATGTTTGTGAGGCTTTGAAGGAGCCTGGGCAGGATGATAAAATTCTACTCCTTATATTCTAGCTTTTTATTTGAACTGTATTTGAACCATTGGTTCAACTTTGTAGAATTTCTCAGGCATCATACACTACAACAAATTATAGATTCAGAGTTTATCTTGTATAAATCATTTCTTTTATRTTAATATGTATTTGTGCTCAAATATATCCCTAACAGATGTTGTCTTGTTTGAATTCTCTATAATTTTCTTATATTTAGATTCATAAATGCAAGCTGGAATATTTGGAAAAATGATCGTATCTTCAATTCTCAACATTGTAATAGCACTCATTAAGAAATATTATTGAAAGTATATGAAAGACGAATCCTATAGAAATTGTAATTGTAGGAATGCAAAACTAGTGCTTCGTTGACTAGTAATATGTTTTCCATTCTCGAAGAAAACTCAACTTCGTAAGATTGATTAATTAATTACTGAACTAGGGATCATTTTTAACTTCATTGGGATGATCTTCAAAGAATGATGGTATATTTTAGTTATTTTTGCAAAATTAAAAAAGTAACTGCGCTGTAAATTTCTTTTAGATAACAAACGTGCTTCTTTATTCACCCGTACAGGTACACGTACACGTACAACATCTCAAACATGCGCCATAACTGAACTGAAGGTAAAAGAAAAGAGATGAGTCACAGCTCCTGCTTGGACTGGATCTCGGCCGTCGATTTGTGATCAGAAATTCCGACGAGTTTGGGACCCTTGATCTTCTCCGGCGAAAGTTTGGGCAGAGTAACGGTGAGAACGCCGTTCTCAAGCGTAGCTTTAACGGAGTCCAAATCCACGTCACTCGGCATCCGAAACTGCCTCCAGAACTTTCCGTAACTTCTCTCCACGCGGTGCCAGTGGTCTCCTTCTCTCTCCTCTTCCCTTTTCCTCYCTCCCATCACCTGACAACAAAGTTTATAGATTTTTCTTCATTTTTAATAAACAAAAATTAATTGCGTGATTTCGACACTCAATTGAGTAAAAAAATAAACTTGTACGAATTTTGATATAAAGAGAAGAATAAAAAACATAGTTAGTGACCAAAATATTTAGATTTGTTAAAAAAATTGGAAACGAGAAATAAGAAACGAAAATATTATGGACSATTATTTTCTATTATAAATTTTTTGTCTTAAATTTCTTATACATGTGAGTTGATGAGAACCACTTTGCTAACGTTATTGTCTTTTTATTTCTTTTTCAATTTTATTAAAATTCTCGACGTTTTGCAACTAATCATAGATAGCTTGATTACGTTCCCGTTTCTAAATTTCTCCGGAAATCACTATTAGTTTCTCATTTTTTTTAACATTCTTAAAATTGTATAAAAATTTCAACAAAATCCAGTGTATTATTTTTTATTCTTGTTTCCAATTTGTTTCAAAATATGATAAATTAAAATATTGTTTTATCATGCTTAAATGCATGGCGAGATCGGCTATACAATTTTTCTTTTCTTTTTTTAATAAAAAAATAAAAATAAAAAACATCAACATTACTGCAAATGGTCAAATTTATTTATAAATTGTGACACAAATTAACAGTTTTAATAAGATTTCAGTCTTACCCACTTGAAAATATAGAGAATAAAATCATTACTTACAAACAAAAATCTAAAGATTAAATTTCTAGCTTAACGAAATTACATAGCCAAAGATATTTTATTTTTTAACATCTCATAGAATGTGGATGAAAATTTAATACTCTACCTTGAGAATCCTGTTGTCATCCACCTCAATCCTCAGCTCCTCCTTGGCCAGCCCGGGCACGTCCATCCTGATGACGTGGCCCTCCGACGTCTCCTTCCAGTCGGCTCTCGCCGGGGCGAGGAGGAGCAGAGGATCTCCGTTTGCATGTTCCTTTTGGAGGCCCAATGGGGTTTGTTCTAGCACCCCAAATGGATCCAGTAATGGCAGCAGAGAGGCGTTTGCTGAGCCATTTATGAGACAAAAGAAGATGATGAATAGTGAGCACAAGCCCATTTGTATTGCTCTCATTGTCATTGTCATTGCTTTGATTGGGGGAATGCACAATAATGTGTATGTATTTATAAGTGGAAGAGAGGGAGCCAGATTTTTCCTTTAGCTTTCTGGAGAATTCGTGAAGATGGATACAAGGTTCAAGAATATGGTTTTTTATACCTTTCCACGACTGCTCTTAAATTAACAAAAAAAACTTAGGGTTTCATTTGATATCGTTCATGTTTCTTATTTCTGTTTTTTTATTTTTAATAAAGAAAAATGAATTGCATGGCTCCGACATTCATGAATTCAAAGTATGATAAAACATGCCGTGGAACAAATTTGGAAATCGGAAAAAAAAAAGGAAAAACTTGTTTTGATTGTTTCCAAGATTTATATATAATTTTGAGAATGTTAAAAAAAGGRARAAACAAGAAACATARTTAGTTACAAAATACTTAATTGAAAACGAGACGTACCAGACGAGCCTAACTCAGTTGATGGAATCAAAATCAACATTACTTTTACCACGTCTTCTTTTGTTTTGTTATATAGCTTTTGTAAAAGTTTTGAAGTAGGTAAAAATTTTAAATGAAAATTTAAATATGTTTTCAAAGGARGTAAAAATTTATTAGCATAATTTTTTAAAACATGAATATAAAAACCAAATGGTTGCCCTTTATCAAACAACACCTAAATAATTTTTTCATAATTTATAAATTAAAAGGAAAAAAGAAAAAAATAAGTTACACTATCATTTTGTTTGAATTTTATAAATTTCATAACAAATATACGTTTCGTTAATTTATTGTATGCACATAAGAATACACATTTCAACTCTTCTTCAAACGCGCAAACTAATTAAATGGTGAAAATGGTAACATTTTATAAAGTTTAAGGTGGAATTTATAGTATTTATCAAAATTTAAGGTACAAAGTTTGGGGTGAAAATGAATTGATATATCTTACTAAGTTTGTGGTAAAAATTAAAATTTCTTTTTAATTTGTTTTGCTTGGAGTAGAAAGTGAGTGCCTGACTCCCAAGGTGGAGGATTTTTCCTGCTTGTTCTAGACATTTCTGATCTACTATCTTCTCGATTTCTTATAGTTCTATGTAATTTTGGAGGGCAAAAAGGTAAATATATCAATTAAATAGTTATTGCAATGTCACAAATACTATTAGATGATCTGGTTTTCTTTAATCTATTTAAGAAAAAAAAAAGGTTTAAACTCCCAAAGAAAGATATGACTTTTGTAAAATAATTTTAAATGATGATTTCTGATTAATGTGTGAGATTTTTCTTGAGGGAAGTTCAATGGATATAGAGCATAATTTTTCTTTTAATAATATTTATCAATATGTATCTTTTATAATTGTAAATCCAACACATTTATGAAAAATAATTGTAAATTTAATATTTAAAATTATTAATTTTAGTTTAACAAGAGTGTGAAAATTTTTGAASGGTGAATCAAAACGAATCYTTTTTTTAGTACAATAGATGTGGGGATGATGGATACTACAATAATTTTAATTTTTGCTGATGCACAAAAACATTGTGAAAGCTAAAAATATCGTATTCCAGACCATTTATTTTGGTCACGAAGTTTGTTGGCAGATCTCTTTCGTCACGATATATATCTAACTTTGGCAATGGAATTTATTTCGTCGGTAAAAGTATCTATCACRATGGAATTTGTTTTGTCTACAAAGGTATCTATGACAACGAAATTTATTTCGTTGCAATATATACCTTTGTCGCCCTAAATCTTTGGCGACGAAATTTAACTTTTGTCACCAAAGATATCTATATAATTTCACCSTATACTATAGGCATGCTATTTTTCTTGTTACAATCTTGTTACCTAATATTTTCTTCAAATTAATTTAGATCAAACTCCATTAGAACACATTCTTTATTATCTTATAAACTTAGATTTATATTAAACAAAAAGTAATTTTATAGAAAGTTAAATACAACATGATAAGCTAAATGCCGACCACAATATTAATTTAAACCTAATCTAGAAAGCTAGATATTCTTGGCGTCAATGAAAACTTCTCTAATTTCCAAAGCTTCCGAGAAAAAATCAAAATAACCTGAAAAATAAATGAAAGATAAACCGATTTCAACAAAGAAGTTATATACCTAACTCATTCCACTACTTTTTAACTGAAAAATGTTAATTAGGTAAAAAATAGCATGCAAAGTAGAAAGTTAA